TTTGTTCCTGGCGGTCCTCCTCAACTCTCGCATACTTCTCTATCCTGGCCATTAGCTCCTCCATACTTTTTGGCAATATCTTTGCCAGTGATTTTCGAAGCAGACAATCATCTTTCAGGCCGTTTTTAAATGACACAACCGCCACCTCTTGGTTGCATCTGGTATTCGGTTGAACACCTGATAATACCTTTTGGCATAGGCCCTAAAGCTTTCATCCTCGCCAATTCTCAGAGCCATCAGGGCGCCCACCCTCAATGGCTGTAGTTTGTTTGTCATAAACCTGGCCACAAACATCTCGGCCAAGCCTTTCCAACTTTTCATAGTTCTTTTCGGCAACTTGTGAAACCAGTCTGATGTAATTTTCCCAAAGGATGAGGGAAACACTTTGCAGAGCAACGACTCGTTTCCGGTGTATAGTGCCATTGAGTTCAAGTACAAGCCGATGTGAAAGTTAAGGTCCAACTTACCGTCGTATATTTGGAACCTCGGCATATGGAACCTTTCGGAGCCTCAAATTTGTCAAACTCCACCGAGAGCTTGACCGGAGAGGTTACCTCGGTATCTTGTTGCTTCCTCTGGAGGTAATCCCTCAGATTCTCCTTGGTCCGTCCAGGAGCTCGGCTATCAACGGATTTCAGCCTCTTCGGTGCCCTACTCCCAGTATCATTATGAGTCCTCTTGGACCTTTCCCCATTAGTTGCGTCGAAAACAGTCCATTCCTTTGAACATGCCGATGTTCTTTAGGGTCAGCTTCCTTAGTACAATGCGTCTTTCGAGAATCTCCCCTTCTTGACTCTCCTCGCCCGACCTCCCTTGAAGGCCGGTGAGAGTGTTCCTTGGTCCCGGTGTGCTAGGGGACTGTAGGGACTATTTTCTGCCCTCCATTCTAGGCATTGTTCCTGGCCGTTGGAATCGCCGTGTCTTGTAACGGGAACGGTGGCTGCATGATGTTGTTCTGCATCATGAAGTTAACGACTGATTGCAGGTCAATTAATTTATCCGTCATTCCCTTCATCTCTTCGTCCCTCCGCATGCATCTATCTTTCCATACCTAGAGGTCATTCTCGTTATAATACCCGCATCGGTCTGCCTTCTTTGGTACATCTTCCTCATGGCCGACGTCCTTCTCTCCGGGATTCTGATACTGAGTTTCTTCACTGCAGTTATTCTTCTCTATGATAGGGTCAATGTGCTTACCACTCCCAGCAGGGATGTCGTCCCCTACCTTTTCTTTCTGTCCATCGTTGGCCATCTATTCTCCTTTCGTTCCCACAGACGGCGCCAAATTGTGTGTGCTATTTTCTGACCACACTGCGAAACAGGTACTCAGCTGGAGAACATCGATAGAATAGATTGCGCCCGAACGACCTGTAACAAAAAAAAAAGACTCCGGCGGTGGTTCGTCCACCCGGGGGCACTCGACGATCAAGTCAGTTATCTCTCAAAGATATCAAAAGTGTTTAACTCACTATTCAAAATACAAAAAGTGTACCTTAAACCCACGAGGGCGTCTTACTTTTATAACCAACACTGACCTGATCTCTATAGAAGCCTAGCTTTAATGGACTCTGGCTTAATGCCTATCCAGTACTCTCAAATAGATAAAGATAAACTTCCTAAGAGTTTTATCCTTATCTAGGCTGAAGTCCTCCCTCATTCTAGGACTCTTGTAAATTATCCGCTCATCTCGGATTCCGGTATCTTTGCAGATAACCTCAGCCTAGTCGGGATTACCTCGGCGTCAAGTCAAGGACACGTGGCATCTCGGCTGGCACTTCGGTACCATCTTGGCCACGTGTTGCTATCCAAAAAATATGTCACCACAAATAGTTTAGATTCATTTTGTATAGGGTAAATTACACTTTTCGTTTCACCAATTTCCTACTTTGACATTTTAAGTTTAATTTTTCTCACTTTGGTCCTTTATGTTTGTAATTCTTCTCACTTTGGCCCTTTATGTTTGCAATCCATCCCACTTTGACCCTTTATATTTGTAATTCTTCCCATTTTATTCCTAAACTAACTTCCAAAAACTAACAGAATCTGCCACATCATTAACACATCAACTTTATGTGTGATGTAAAAAATTCACTAAATATGCAAAAAATAAAAAATAGAAAACAACAAAAAATGGAATTTTTTTTTAGTTTTTAGTAAACTTTTTTTTTTCAAATTTATTCATAAACATTATTACATTATAGATGCATTTAGATTAAATGCAGCTAAAAAAAGAAAAAAAAATTATTAAAGACGAAAAAAATGAAAATATACTAACTTAAACACCTGTATTGTCAATTCTGAAATGAAAAATTTACCATCGTTTTTTCGTCTTTAGTGAACTTTTTTTTTTAGTTAAATTTGTTTTTATTTTTTTAGCTGCATGTAATCTAAATGCATCTATAATGTAATAATGTTTATGAATAAATTTGAAAAAAAAGTTCACTAAAGACTAAAAAAAATTTCCAATTTTTTTGTTTTTTGTTTTTTATTTTTTGCATCTTTAGTGAATTTTTGACATCACATGTGGAGCTGATGTGTTAGTGATGTGATAAATTCTGTTACTTTTTTGGATGAAAGTTAGTCTAGGAGTAAAGTGGGAAGGATTACAAACATGAAGGGCCAAAGTGGAAAAAATTAAACTTAAAGGGCCAAAGTGGGAAAGATTGCAAACATGAAAGACCAAAGTGGAAAGGATTGTAAACATAAAGGGCCAAAGTGATAAAAATCAAATTTAAAGAGCCAAAGTAGGAAATGGGTGAAACTTTAGGGGGGCAAAGTGTAATTTATCCTTTTATATATGTTCTCTAAATTTTATCAATTTAATCTTCACCGCATGCCTATTTCTAGATAAATTCAGAGTCCTAAATTATGGGACCTTAGCTTTTTTGCCATATATACATTCGATGATTGATAGGCGGTGATAAAAAAGAGTTTAAAATTAGACAAAAAATGTCACAATACTTATTTCATATGTGGATTTCATACTTTATCAATTTAATTTCCACCACATATACCTATTTCTGGATAAATTCGGGATTCTAAATTCGTACCCTAGTGTTTTTTTGCTATATGTACATGCGAGGACTGATAGTCGGTGATCAAAGAGAGTTTAAAATTATACAAAAAATGTTACAATAATTATCACATAATATAAAAAATATATTATTATATTGAAATTAAAGTTTATGTTAGAGATTTAAGTCATATATAATAAAATATTTTTATACTACGTGATTATCCATTTGTAAATAATTTTAAGAGTAAATTAGAAAAAATTTAAAATATAAAAGGTTAAAGTAGGGGGAAAAAAAAAAATTTAAGGACAAAGTGAAAAAGTGACCAAGCATAAAGAGGACAAAGTGTGAATTACCTCTACTTATAATATATATATATATATATATCATATAATTACCAATGTGTCATTCTTTGTCTCATTTTGAATATAAGTTACGTTTTGGAGTAAATTGAAACGATAAAAAGTTAAAAAAAAACTTAAACCGTGAATGGCCAAGAGGCGGAAAAAAAAAAAATAAAGACCAAAGTTAAAAAATGACTAAATATAAAAGAATAAAGTAAAATTTATCTCTTATTTCAAGTAATTTTTTTTGTAAAAAATATTGGGAACAAAACATAGAGCTTGAGCTGGTAAGTTGTACTAAAATAAATTATGATTTTTCATTTTATTAATTTAAATAATAATTTTTTAATTTGATTTCAATCTAAATTATTTGACTATTTTTATGAAATAAAATTGATGAAAAAAATAATATTTTAGTAATTAAATTTAATAAAAAAATATATTTTAGACGTTTTTTTATAACTAGTGAGTGACACATATGATGTTTCTGTAATTCAAATAGACAAAAGTAAAAACAAATAATAAAAAACCGATATCATAATATGTAAGTTGGTTAAATAGTAAGCATGTTTGTAATGAAATCAAAAGTTTTGGATTCAAACCTCATCTGTGCAGTAATATAATAATTTCTATAATGACTCAAACACCTAGGGATTTTTTTTTTTTTTGGTTGTAATTTTCTCAAAAATATTTTAATTACCTAATTTAAATATTTTTTTAAAATAATAAAAATACAACAAAAACTTCTATTTTTGTTAGGTTATGTTATTTGTAATAATCAAACTTCCATACCTTGCATACCATAACATTACTCTTTATATATATTTTTTTTGAATGAAGTCATACGCATCAATTAATATATCAATTAATATATTAATAGATAATGTGATATAATTTTAGAGACTTTAAATCTTTATAATATGTATAACTGGTGGAGTTCATAATTTTTAAAATAACAATGTCGTAGTATATATTGGTACATATTAATTGATAGGTGTAGCGCCATTGAGTTTATTAATTTTTTTAATTTTTTAATTTTTTTTAATCAAGTCTTAAAACTCTTCGGGCCAGTATGAATAATTTAAGAAGGTAAGTAAATTTGGAAAAGGGTCATGCTACATCCCCTAAAAAAACATCCCCCTAATCCCCCTAAATTCCATATTAAGTAAAAAAAAAAAAAAATAGAGGAAACAGTTGCCAGAAATGGAAATTAGGGGGATTAGGGGTGAGGTTTTTAGGGCTACAAATCATTTCCCTTTGGAAAATTGTTTTGATTTTGAGGTTTTTACAGAATAGATTGGCAAGTGGGTGGTAGATAAATTGTATTAATATATTAATAGATAATGTGATATAATTTTAGAGACTTTAAATCTTTATAATATGTATAACTGGTGGAGTTCATAATTTTTAAAATGACAATGTCGTAGTATATATTGGTACATATTAATTGATAGGTGTAGCGCCATTGAGTTTATTAATTTTTTTAATTTTTTAATTTTTTTTTAATCAAGTCTTAAAACTCTTCGGGCCAGTATGAATAATTTAAGAAGGTAAGTAAATTTGGAAAATTGTTTTGATTTTGAGGTTTTTACAGAATAGATTGAATCTTAAATGGTAGATAAATTGTAGGGGAATAAAGCCATCTGTATAACTGCTTGATTGACATGCATTCAGATTCATATTCATATTCATATCACATCTCATCTACCCAATCCCCACACTGTCAGCATTTCACGTAATCACATCTACCGATTCCTTCTCCCCCTTCACTGCCTCCATTAGACTCGGAACTCCCATCTCTCTCTATGGACCCAACTACCAGAACACCACCCTTCACTTCCACTATTCACATACATATCTTTTCTTTTTTCTTTTCTTTTTCTGTTTTTCTTCTTCTTCTTCTTCTTCTTCTTCTTCAATCAATTCATTCTTTATGTTTGTCAATGCTCAGAAGAACAATTATAACACATGGCGTTCGTGAGGCTTGGTTCCAAATCTGAAGCATTTCGCCTTGAAGGCCAAACTTGGTAAACACTGGTTCCTTTTCTACTTCTCGCGTTTGATTCCATTTTCCTTTTTGACTGACATGGGTTGTTGTTAAATCGGGAAATATGAAATGGGTTGTTGTCAAATCTTTGGTATTACAATGCATTCCATTTGGATTTGATGGGTTTTTGTATTTTGTTATTGTAATTTCTTGATGATATCTGTGAATGTGTTTGTTAAAATGCCGCTGTCGATGTGAAGTAGCATGGTTTTAATTCTATCTCACTCACATGTAGAATTTAGCTTGCAAACAAATCTTCATTGGACTACATTTTGGATGTCTTACGATTGAAGACATTGCATCCAATTGAGCTCACATACAGGGCATTCTTTAACATCTATTTTCCAATACATTTTTTTACAAAGTGGTCGTATAAATCCTATGATAGTTCAACTAAAAGCCTTTTGCAGGGTCATGCCTAGTAGTTGTAATGTAAACATTTTGCTAACCGTCCTAATCAACTGAGTAGGAAGCCTATGCCATCTTCCTCCCTCAAGTCTCCTGTTGGGACTTGTTTAATTATATGATAGCCAAAATAGTTGCTTACATCTAATGTTGTTCATGTATTTGAGCTTTGACATCTCAGCAAAGAGGCTATATGCTTAGAAAATTTTAGACATTAGTGGACTTACTGAGGGGTTGATTATTGCCTTGCAATCTTTGGTCAATTATTTTTATTTAATAAGATATCATTGCAGTTTATTGTAATAATATATATATATATATATATTTTTCATTTTAAAATATGTCCTTGCCTATAGATTTATCCCCAAAAAAAAAAATGTTCTTGCCTATAGATAGATTCTCACCAGGCCTCAACGAGAGTAATATAGTACACGTTATAATTAGGTTGCACGCAAAGAGTGGTGACGAGATAAAAGTTTTTGAGACATAACTCTAGAAGATTATGGATTTTTGCTTTTGCCTCTCCTATGAACTAAATGTGCTATTACTCGTCACAAATCTTCTTGCGCCAATGTTTATTATTATGGTTAGCAATTAGGAGTTTATGATCTAGTCTCACATTCATTACCTGATCCCACAATGATTTAGTATCACTCCATATCTGCTAACTTCATATTGCAGGCTAGAATTTTTGCTCTTACATCATCTATTGACTTATCATTATCACAATCGGGCATGATGTGGTGGAAATGGTTCACTGTAGAGGTTGTTGCAATAGTCCCGAGAAGGGTTAGCTGCACCTTGGTTCTCTAAGTCAAAACCTGGTCATTTTCATTGCATTGAATAATTTGATTGATGCAAGTTAGTAGGACAGTCTGTGAATTGGTACTCACCTGAGCTAAATTCAGGAAGTTGGATTTTGTCACCAAAACTGGAGACGCAAACTGTCACCCAATATGCTTATGAGCCTATATTAATTCTCATAACATGCTACATCACTTGATACCCTGAATATATACATAATTTAGTGAATGGTTTGTTTTGTCACCTTGTATTAAGCCTATGAGAAATACTTCACTGTAATTTCATGGAGCGTCTTTATGCTCTCTTTTCAGGCATTGCACAAGTGGGCTTCCAAGTGATGTCACTATTGAAATTGGAGAGATGTCCTTTCATCTTCACAAGGTGCATTTTGTTTAATTAAGTTCAACTTTTAATTTGTTGCTTGAATGCACACCGAAATTATGAAATTATTCACATGCATGCTTTCTACAATTCATCATTTTTTTAATCAATTCAACCTAGTGCATATCAATGCTGGTTTTTTAATTTTTTATTTTCTTCCTCCATTTTGACATGCTTCAGTTTCCCTTGCTGTCAAGAAGTGGACTACTAGAAAAGTATATCAGAGATTTTTGCAGTGATGATGGATCAATTTGTGTGTTGCAACTTCATGATCTGCCTGGTGGAGCTAAAGCATTTGTGCTCATTGCTAAATTTTGCTACGGCGTGAAAATGGAGCTCACTGCTTTGAATGTAGTTGCTCTCAGGTGTGCAGCTGAGTATCTTCAAATGAATGAAGATTTTGGGGAGGGAAATCTCATTGTCCAAACAGAGACTTTTCTTAATGAAGTCTTTGGCAATTGGGCAGACACAGTCAAGGCTCTCAATACCTGTGAAGAAGTTCTACAATTTGCAGAGGAACTTCACATTGTTTCCAGATGCATAAGTTCCTTGGCAACGAAAGCTTGTGCAGATACAAACTTACTTAATTGGCCTGTGGCAGGATCCAATAGCATGCCGAGCACAACAGGTGCTGTTTTATGGAATGGAATATCTACTACATCAAAACCGCAACCCGTGGGTGATGATTGGTGGTATGAGGATGTGTCTTTTCTTTCTTTACCTCTCTATAAACGATTGATTCAAGCTGTTGAACTGGGAGGCATGAACTCTGAAAGAATTGCTGGTTCACTCATGTTTTATGCTAAGAGGCATGTCCCCTTGATGAATAGGCAATCTAACTTCAAGGACACAAATGACATTAACCCCGGGTCAACAACCATATCTGCCCCTCCCGAGGCAGATCAGAGGGCTCTCCTTGAAGAGATTGTGGAGTTACTTCCTAATCCGAAAGGGGTTACACATACTAAGTCTCTGCTTAAGCTACTCCACGCAGCCATGATTCTACATGCAAGTCCCTCATGCAGAGAGAATTTAGAAAAAAGGGTAGGGGCACAGTTAGACCAAGCCTCTTTGGAAGATCTACTAATACCGAATATGGGCTACTCAGTGGAGACTCTCTATGATATAGACTGTTTTCAGAGGATTCTTGATCATTTCATGGCAATGGATCAGGCTGAAGCTGCATCTTCTCCTTGCATAGCTGAAGAGGGAGAGTTGATCGAAGGGGCTTCTTCACTAACATCGATAACAATGGTGGCCAATTTGGTGGATGCATACCTTGCTGATGTGGCCCCTGATGTTAATTTGAAGTTCCCAAAATTCCAGTCGCTTGCTGCTGCCATCCCTGATTATGCCAGGCCACTTGCTGATGCCATTTATCGTGCAATTGATATATATTTGAAGGTAAAAAATCCTCCAAATGCTTTTGGAAAATTTGTTAAAAATTATTGTTGTCTTACACAAGGTATGATGAAATTCAAGAAATTTGGATTTTTTAAAAGAAACATTCTGAAAAGTTTGGATTTGTATGTGAATGTGCATTACATAGATTGATATTAGATAATTGAAAATGATAAACACTGTTCAATCACTGATTTTACTTAAAAAAGTTTTGCTATGCATCAATATGTTCAATGGTTTTTACAGCTTTCGAAGCCGGTTTTGCTTAACCATTACTGCCTTTTCTGATTGGGACTTCTAATACATGCAACCACATAGTTATTAACAGCCAGAACCTTCATATTGTCTTGCCCTTTGTCAGTTAAGGTCTCATACTTCACCTGTAAAAATAAGTTAACATGCGAAGACTTTCACCAAGAAAAGTACACTACAAAAAGGCAAATTCCAAAATTTTGGACTTCGACTGTACTTTTAGTAAGCTTGGTCACCCTTTTTCTAACCAGTAAAGTTGTGTACTTTTGAGCATGCTAACACATTTCACAACTTCAGGCACATCCTTGGCTCACAGATTCTGAGCGGGAACAGATCTGCAGACTTATGAACTGCCAGAAGCTCTCATTAGAGGCTAGCACCCATGCAGCCCAAAATGAGAGGCTACCTCTCCGAGTGATTGTCCAAGTCCTATTCTTTGAACAGCTTCGGCTGCGTACATCAATTTCTGGTTGGTTCTTTGTCTCTGGCAATCTTGAGAACTCACAAAATCCCAATGCAAACCTTGCACTCACTACCCAAGACAGAGCTGTGGGGATTGATGATGTGAGGGAACGTGTTTCTGAGCTTGAAAAGGAGTGCCAGACCATGAGACAAGAGATTCAGAACATAGTGAAGACAAAGAGAAGTTGGAACATTTTTTGGAGACGAAAACCCCGGCATACTAATTCTAAAGAATCTAAGGCCTCAAGTTTAAAGGCACCACCACCAGCATCTGTGAATGGACAGAAAAATCATGAAAATGGCGAGTCAAGAAACTAAATTTTGAAGGTTCAAGTAACACTACATCATGTCGGTATATTTTTTTATTTTTAAATTAATAGAGAATCTTCCCCTCCCCTAATGCTAGGTTGTTTCCTCTTTTTATTTATTTTTATTCATTAAATAATGCCAATAGCTTCTTTTTTTAATTATTATTTTTTTTTTCTTTAGATGCTAGCTTGTATTTTTTCGTTATCCCTCAATTGTATTTACAAGTTTCTGTTCTCCATACTAGCCTGAATTATGATTTTGTTAAAAGATCATTGGAGGACTAGTAAAATGAATTTCTTTTACTATCATGAGCCAATCATTGTAAAGGATGGTTTTGTCAAGATTTGGAGGATGAAGATAGGGTTTGGGTAGGATTCTTTCAATGTTCTATGGCTTTTTGGCTAATATATCTGCTGCAGCATTAATTAATTTTGTAACCTGCTGTGTGTTCCAGAGCGAGACAAGTATCTGGCTAGGTTTATGCTATTCTACAGGTCCGTCGAGCAGGAGCTCATCACTAAGTTAGCCTATGTTTCCTGATGCTGGCATACCATTTGTGGGTAGTTTAAACTCGCTGAACGGGGTGGCTTTAATAGGGAGATTTATTCAGTTTACTGCTGAACTTTTTATGTTGTAGGTATGCACTTTTAGTCAATTAGAATTGGTTTAAGATGTTGATGTAATTTGCTTCACTATATTAGTTATACTTGCACAGTCTCGTCTTGTAGACGCTATTCTATCTGTATCTAGGCTTTGCCTTCAAAACACCATACACACATTTTATCTCATTCTCTGCTTAACATGGTTTCAGAAAGCCCTCATGTTCTTACCTTCAGAATTTTGTTCCTTGATGTTTGTCAGATATGTTCTTTATTATCGGGAGTAGGATTTCAGAGGCACTTCTTGGAGTTCATTTATTTATTATCTTTACGGAGTTTAATGGAAACTCCAAAACAATATCTTAGCATTACAATTATGGAAATCTCATCCCAAACAGTCAGCTGCAAGTTTTTGCAGGAAAAGTGATTACAATTTTGACTTGGGTAAATTGAGGGGAAAAGGAGAAACTTTCAGCTTCACTGAGAGAGTCACGCTCTTTCTTCTTTGATTTGCAATATCTAGCAGGGTGGAAGGTCTTTCGGAGGTGGTAGAACAGATTCTTCTGCTGACTTCCCATTCTTGACTACAAATGCCATCTTTAGCCCCCACGTTGTATGAAGTTCTAGATGACAATGCATGAACCAGACACCTATTCAAACATAGATAGATATGTTAGCATCTTCTTCAAATTTGAAAAGGTGTGCATCTATGGCTAATCTAAGTATCTAAGCCATTTTATTAAATTTACAATAATAACTTGAGTTATTAAGAAGTTTGTATCTGAATGTCTAAAACTCCCTGATCTTGTGTGCTTTCATGGTTTCTGCACTATATCTATGTGTGCTTGCAGTACTTGTGTACATTTACCTGGATTATCAGCTCTGAACCTGATAGCAGTCCAACCTCCAGTAGGAACACCAACTGTATTTCTCTCTGGAGGATCGACCAAGTTGAATTTAGCCGGGTCTTTTTTAGGATCAAAGTTTCCAATCCCACTCCCAACAACAAAAAAGTTGAACCCATGAAGACGAAAGGGGTGTGATTCAGCAGAGAAGATTAGTGTCTTGTAAGACCAATTCAACTGTAGAATTGAAAGGCAGCTTACTGAGCCGGTCCCCATGGCAGTTCCAAGGTTAGCTGTAAGCGGTGCTCCCGTGTAGTTAAATGGAGCAAGAGGCTTGTCTGGGAAATCAGTTCTAAAAACTCCTGAGACGTCGAAATAATGAGCCTGTAAAAGCCCAATCTTAGGCATCACAAATGTTATGTTGTTTAATGAAGCTACTACTTGTGTTCCTTTTTGGCAAGTCGGGCATGGGTTAATTCCTAACCCAATGGTGTAAAAAAGATGGCGGTCAATCTGAAGAGGGACTTTTGCCGGAAATCGTGGGCTGTTGAGACTTTTGAGCTTGCTATTATAGCTCATTGCAAACTTGGTGTCATTGGAAACCGGTAATTGGGGTAAGATTGGTAGAACTGAATTTGGGATGCCTTCGTATTGTAAAATAGCTGTAACAGGTTTGTTGTCCACAGTAATTGGTGCATCCATGAAAGGCCTGGCAGCCATGAAGTAGCGCTTTGGAGATTGGTCAGCTTTGACGAGAACATTTGTGGTTTGGCCAGGCACGATCAGTATAGCTTTGGTCGTGAAGGGCTTGGTGTAAACTGCATCGATCTCCACAACCGTCATGCTATGACCGGCTATGGCAAAGAAGTGCTCATCATTAAGTGCAGCATTGATGATCCTCAAGAGATAAGTTTTTCCAAACTCAACCTCCATTGCAAAGGTATCTATTATAGTAGAAAAAATATATGATTAACATAAATATAACATAATTTGAAGAAGTTTGTATATTTTTGTAAGGAGAACTAGGGTTTTACGTTTCTCAGAGCGCGGAAAAAGTGGTCCTGGTTTTCCATTGATAGTATGAGCATTGGAGGGTTGTGGTGGCAAGCCCAACTTATTAGCTTGGGTAACAATTGTTTCGACATCTTGATTCCACCATTCTCCTGCATTGCATACACATGTTAGATATGTATTAACTTCGAGAATTCTTATTATTATGTGTAGTAAAACTGACCTAAAATTATGTTAGTTTCCCGGTGAGGCTGAGGGAATGGAAATGGAGTCCCTTCCTTCGGCATGATAACAATGGCACCATAAACTGTTGCTCTTAGCCACAGGATGTGTGCATGCCACCATAAAGTTCCTCTTTGATCCGTAACTGTGAAATTGTAAATATAGCTATGGCCGTTTTTAATTGGACACTGTGTTATATATGCCGGTCCATCTGCCCAACCGTTGCGAAACTGTTTCAAGTCATGCCTGCTTATGCAAGCTCACACAGAATGTTATGCAATGATAGATTTGTTCACATCAAAATGCACTAGGTAGCACGAACATAGACGTGCAACACGACATGGACACACTAATACATAGATTTCCAAAAAATACAGGACACAACATGCTTTGGACACTGCTAAAATTTTGTATTTTTACAAATTTATTATATGTTATATATATGAATCTTTTATCAAAAAATAATGAAAAATATGTAACATAATACTAATTACATGAAAAAACTATATATTTCATAACTTAATTATCAAGATATCATTCACGTAACAATTATATTCTAAAAACTGCAAAACAATTATAGAACATTATAATACACATGATATATTTTATCTTGTAAATATTTCAAACCATATTTAGTGTTCATAACTTGTATTTTAAAGAATGTAAAATATTGTTATTATGAAGGTATACATAGGACATGTTCAAAGTGTTCAAGAAGTATCGCCAAAGTGTCTGCGAAGTATCGGTAAGGGTATAATATTATGAATTTGATTTTTTAATTAAGACATGTTGAAGTAGTGTTGAACACGCTCTTCGGAGTGTCTGAAGAGTGTCGGTGTCTGACTCTGACATGCTTCCTACGTAGAAGTGTCCGTGTTTCTTAGCAAATGCATATATATATATCTCCATCAATAGAAACATACCAATGGATGGACATGTTGTATTGTGCATGGTTGGTAACATTTACAAGGACTTGATCTCCTTCTCTAACATAAATGCTAGGCCCTGGGAACATCCCATTCACTGTCACTATTGGTTTGGCATTGCACAATCTGCTCACATTCTTCACTTGTATCTGAAACATCAAAAAGGAAGAACAAGAAAACCAGCTTATTTTTTTGCAGTAACGTTACAAACATCGAGTGTATCCAAATTCTGTGTCACTAGCATTGTTGTATTTTTAGTAAATGCACACAAGGTTATGAAATGGAAAAAAAAAATCACATCAAGGGTAAAAGCATAGAACCTACATTGAAGTCATACTTCTTCAATGCTGCGTTGGCAGGAAAAAAATGAAAAATGAGGAACAAAGTGATGAAAGGGAGACATCCTTGCAGTGTCACCATTTTTATCTTATGAAAGTTTGCTGATGATTGATGACTGAGTTGTGAAGAGTGTGTTTTTGGATGCTATGGAATGTTGGGATTTATAGGAGCTGATTTAGAAGAAGCTTAAGTTGATGGTTTAAGAAGAGCTGGAAGTAGAGTTCCGATGGACTACAGGTAAAGCAAGTGCAAAGAGTTGAACAAAGCTTTGAAGCAGCTGTGAGGAGTTGAGATATCCATGTAATGTTTGTTACCAATACATTTACATGTATATATGACTGTATATTGTCTAGGGATATAAAATATTGCATATAGAGTACCTTGAAAGGTGATAATGAGTGACCAACTTTACATTATTTTTGAATATTTTGTTCCAAATTGCCAGCTAGATTCACTAAGATAGGGTTTTATGCATAAGATATTGTGAATAGGTGGAAGAACATGAGGGCATCCTCATATCATCCACATTTTTAATGGGCATTGTCCAAAAGATGGTTGAGATGTCCCTGTAAGCTGAAAAGGGTTCTTGGGCATTCACCATTTGTCTTACGTGGGGCTGCCCCATGACCGCTTTGCTCCTACACCTGGATTGATTACTGGACAGAAATGGACGGGGCTAGTTGCTCTACTAAGTCCGGTGGCAAGTTTAGTGGCATCGACTCATCATAGTGACACTAGCTTGGGGGCTGTTTACAAATACGGGTGATATTAGCTTAAGGCTAGGGTTTCAATTTGGTTGGTTGGGGTCGGCTCCAACCCAACCAAGGGCGTGGCATAAATTTTGTGCAACAACGTAATGTACTTAAAAAATGTCTTAAGAACATGTCCATAATTCGAAATATGTGAATTAGATTTATCTTGAATTTTACTCACATCACACCAAGTCTAAATCTAAACTATAGATTTAAATTTTTGGAACTTTTTTAGGAACATAAATACAAAAGAAAAAAAGAAGAAGGTATGTACTGAATGGTTACAAGATTTTTTATGTTTGAAACATGTTAACAGGGCTATTTGAAAAAACAGGTTTATTATTACAAAAAATGAATGAATTTTGTGGCTGGTGAATTTTTAAATGACAAAGAACATTTGGTTGGGTGGACCATGGATCAGCAACCAGCCTGGCTGTGTTGTTTCAGCCCATGGTACAGTGCTACATCCCATCCGTATATCTATATATATAAGAATCGCTTAGCTGTTTGAGATTAGTTTTTTCTTTCTGATTTTGTCTTTTTATTTTGAATAATTTATTAATGGTGACCTATATGTTGAGTGAAGTTTTTTTTCGTAATTATGCAAATATTTTTGGTCAATTATGCAACAAGTTTTTTTTTGTAATTACGCAAATATTGTTGGTCAATTATGAAATAGGTTTTTTCGTAATTACGCAAACATTCTTGGTCAATTATGAAATATAATTATTTTTTTTAATTTTTTAACAAATTACAAATACACCTATAAGGTTTGTTTAAAATATGAATCGGTCTTATAATACTAGAAATTACAACAATCGTTTGTTATAAATTTTAATTTACACAATAATCAGTGAAAAAAAAAACTATTCTCATATGCAATAATAAATTATCAAAAATTGTTTATTGAAAAATATCTCTCATATCATTAAAAACCTTTAATTGACTTAATAATTTATTTATTAACAAAATGATTAACTGAAAAATATTTTTCATATCATTAAAAATTATTAATTTACTTAATGATTTACTTATTAATAAAATTGGTCATTTGTTATGCTAGTGTTATTTATGTATTAATAAAATTAGTCATTTCTATGTACATGTATTTTTTTACTTTTTTATTAGTTCAGTGAATTATCTTTAGTAGTTTTTTTTTCAAATGAAAGAATTTATCTTAGTATTTGTTTTATATTTATCTGTTGAGAAAAATTACGCACCATAATTTTCTTTATTATAAATTCAGAAGGAATATATTATTAGGTGTATAACAAATCAAAAAATTATACGTATTATATCACATAATTCTATCATATATATAATGATTTCTTCTATTCAATTTCATAAAACAATATTCTAATTTTTAAAAAAATTATCAAAATATAAAACCTAAATATACTGTAATAATAGTTTGTGAGTTTTTTTAAACTAGTATATATATCTATATATATATAAGAAGCTCTTTTTTCTTATGGCTTGTCATTTCTTTTCCTATTTTGCCCTTAATTTATTTTGAAATTGCAATTTTGCCCTTTAATTGGTTGGTGAAACAATTTGAGTGGTGGCATTTTGGAAATTTTGTTAGACATTTTGGTTGCTTTGGTTGGGAAGTTTTGTTTTGGGTTGTCTATTTTGCCCTTAGCTTTTTTGAATTTTCTATTTTCCCTTTTATTTTGTATAATTTATAAATGGTATATCAAATTGAATGAGGATTTTTATTGATAAATCTCATTTAGAAGTGTTTTAATTGAAAAAGTCCATGAAGAAATTTATTAATCCATTTAGTCCCATGTATGTATAGTTTTATTCCATAAAGTCTTTTTTCTTGATTTATACTTTTTTTTAGACTCTTATGCCCTTATATTTAATTTTGATACCCTTACAAATAATTTTTGAACGGTTAGCAATTTTATGATGTAAATATTCATATTTTAACATTCACATTGGTAAGAATGTAATTGGCCCGTGGCCCGTGGGCGATATGAAGATCGCCCCCGGGTCGGGGCGGGACCGATTCGTTGACGATGTGAATATTCACGTTGACATGTCAACATTCACATTGATAGAAGTATAAAATTGGCCTGCGGTCCGTGGGCGGCCTGAAACCCGCCCGTGGCCCGTGGGCTGCCCGGGACGGGCCCGACCCGTTGACAATATGAATATTCACATTAACATATTAACATTCACGTTGATAGGAGTGTAAAATTAACCTGCGGCCTGTAGGCGGCCCGAAACCCGCTCGCGGGCCCGGACCAACCCGTTTACAATGTAAATATTCACATTGACATGTTAACATTTACATTGATAGGAATGTAAAATTGGCCCGTGGCCTGTAGGCGGCCGGAAGCCTGCCCGTTGCCCAGGGCGGGGCGGGCTGTAAATATTCATATTTTAACATTCACATTGGTAAGAATGTAAAATTGGCCCGTGGCCCGTGGGCAGTCCGAAGCTCGCCCCCGAGCCGGGGCGGGCCCGGTCCGTTGACAATGTGAATATTCATATTGACATGTTAACATTCACATTGATAGAAGTGTAAAATTGGCCTGCGGCCCGTAGGGGGCCTGAAACCGGCCCGCGGTCCGTGGGCTAGCCGGGGCAAGCCTGGCCCGGCCCGTTGACAATGTGAATATTCACATTAATATATTAACATTCACATTGATAGGAGTGTAAAATTGACCCGCGGCCCGTAGGCGGCCCCAAACCCGCTTGTGGGCTCGGCCCGTTTACAATGTGAATATTTACATTGACATGCTAACATTCACATTGATAGGAGTATAAAATTGGCCTGTGGCCTGTGGACGGCCCGAAATCGGCCCGCGGGGCCGGCCCGTCCCGTTTACAATGTGAATATTCACATTGACATGTTAACATTCACATTGATAAAAGTGTAAAATTGGCTCGCGGCCCGTGGACGGCCCGAAGCCCGCCCGTTACCCTGGGCGGGGCGGGCTGTAAATATTCATGTTTTAACATTCACATTGGTAAGAATGTAAAATTGTCCTGTGGCCCCTAGACGGTCCGAAGCTCTTCCTAGGCCGGGGCGGGCCCAGTCCGTTGACAATGTGAATATTCACATTGACATGTTAACATTCACATTGATAGAAGTGTAAAATTGGCCCGTGGCCCGTGGGCTTCCCGGGACGGGCCCGGTCCGGCTCGTTGACAATGTGAATATTCACATTAACATATTAGCATTCACGTTGATAGGAGTGTAAAATTGACCCGCGGCCTGTAAGCGGCCCGAAACCCGCCCGCGGGCCCGGCCCGGCCCGGCCCGTTTACAATGTGAATATTCACATTGACATGTTAACATTAACATTGATAAGAGTGTAAAATTGGCCCGCGGCCCGGAGCGGGTTCAACCTCTTGCCAATATAAATATTCACATTGACATGTTAATATTCACATTGATAGGAGTGTCAAATTGGCCCGCGGCCCGTGAGCTACCTAAAGCCCTCCCGCGGCCCGGGGCAAGCTCGTTTGGGCCCAGGCCCGAGCCCAGCCCGAGAACTTGGGCTAGGACTTGGGTCATCACTTTGAAGCTCGGCCCGTATAAGGCCCATTAAGGCTCGGCCCGCGGCCCGGCCCGCCAGAGGCCCGGTGTCTTTTTAGTGGAAAATAATAAAATTTTGACAGAAAAAATTAAAAAGAATTAAAAAAAATGGCGAGGCTCACCCAAGCCTGACCCAAGCCCCTTGGCTTGATCCACCAGGGTACCCAAAGCCTGAATACCTTTGTGCTAGGGCTAGGGCCTAGGCCTAATTTTTTTGGCCAGTGGGCCAGTCCGGCCCGGCCCGGCCTGAATTTTGGCAAGCACCCACGAGGCTTTACATGGGTTGGCCCGGGCCTGGGCTGGGCCGAGCTCCTACACATTGATAATATGAACATTCACATTGACGGTATGAACATTTATATTGACAGTGTGAACATTCGCATTGACGATGTGAACATTCACATTAGGGATATTTTGGTAATTATGTCACTCATAGGATGTGAACATTCACATTAGGGGTATTTTGGTAATTATGTCACCCACAGGACTTATTGAAACATAAAAAAATAACATGGACTAAATGGAACATAAGTAGATGAAAATGGTATTTTGGTCTTTTTACCTCAAATAGGAACATTCAACATTTACATTAACAGTGTGAACATTCACATTGACGATGTGAACATTCACATTAAGGGTATTTTGGTAATTATGTCACCTATAGGATGTGAACATTCACATTAGGGGTATTTTGATAATTATGTTACCCATAGGACTTATTGAAACATAAGAAAATAATGTGGATTAAATGGAACATAAGTAGATGAAAAGGGTATTTTGGTCTTCTTACCTCAAATAGGAACATTCACATTGACGGTGTGAACATTCACATTAGGGTTATTTTGGTAATTATGTCACCCATAGGACTTATTGAAACATAAAAAAATAATGTGGACTATATGGAACATAAGTAGATGAAAATGGTATTTTAGTCTTCTTACCTCAAATAGGACCTAATGGAATAGTAAAAAAGAATATGAGTTTGATGGAATAAAGCTTTTAGAAAAAGAATTTATCAAAAAAGCTCCCATTTGAATAAATGTTTTCGTGCAAACATTCTGGTCAATTGTAAAACATAAATATTTTATTTTTTAGTAAATTGCAAATACACCCATAATGTTTGTTTAAAATATGATTTAGTCCTATAATATTACAAATTACACCTATCGTTTGTTATGAATTTCAATTTAACCCAATAAGCAAAAAAATAAAAATAAATAACTACTCTCCTACGTAATAATAAATTATCAAAATTGTTCATTGAACAATATTTCTCATATCATTAAAAACTGTTGATTGACTTAATGTTTTATTTATTAACAAAATGGTTAACTGAAAGATATTTTTCATATTATTAAAAATTGTTAATTGACTTAAGAATTTATTTATTAATAAAATTGATCATTTGTTATGCGAGTAAGATTTATTTATTAATAAAATGGGTCATTTGTATATATATATATATATATGTATTCTCTTTTGCTTCTTTATTAATTCATTTTTTTTTTCAGATGGGAAATTATCTTATTTCTTTTATACTAAAATGTATACTTTATTTTGTTTATCTTTATGTCTTCACATTTAATCTTACTGAAAAAGAAAAGAATATAATTATGTTAAAATGATAGGATTTATTACATTTTTTCTTCTTATTATTTGTAATGCAATTTATATAATTCTATCATATATCTAATAATTTATTCTATTTAATTTTATACAATAATGTTTTTATTTTTAAAAATTATTAAAATATAAAACTTAAATATACTGTAATAGTACGGCCTTTGTAACTAGCATATGAGGTTGGGCTTTGCGTTTGAGGCCTCACAAAAATTACATGCCAGGCCTTCTCTAGAAATGAGAGCACAAAACTAGTGCTCGCACTCTCTCTCTCTCTCCCCCTCCTATTTTTAGTTCTGCTTTTTTATTTTTTCAAATACACATATGACAAGTATAGCATATAAAAACCAACAATTCAAATACTATAAAGATCAGTTTGGATTGGTGTGGCTTAAAAATCAAGGGATTCGAGGTCAAACTGATAGAAAAACAATAAAAAAAAGTCGAGATAGAATATATATATAGAGAGAGAATTTCAAACATGATTTTAAATGACTAGTCTTATGTGGTAATTTCAGATAGTTAGTTTGATAACCCAGAAAATGTGGTCTAGATTTTTACCTAGAATGTATTTGTGTGGTGAAGATTGCATGAGCATAGTATGATGTTTATGTGTGAAATGAATCTGAATCACATATTAAAAATTCTAAGTATAATTTATGGGTTTGTAGCATCACATGTTTTAAATCTATCATGATAAAACTATTTAACTCATTTTGAAATTCATAAGTAAACTATCATATCTAAATATGAGTTATTGTCTTTGAATGATTAAGATCAAATCCCTTTATTTGAAATCTACATTCATCCAAATCGAACCTAAGGATAAGCATACGTTTAGATTTTGGATTTATAGAGATAAAAGAAAAAAAAAGAGAAAAAAGTGAAAATATAATTTGTACTTCACATACTTTTTCCCTCTATAAATCCCTTCACAAATTCAAGATTCAACACAAAAACATGCTAGATGTGATTGCACCTTTTGATTTTTGAAACAGAGATTTAGGATTCCAACATAACATTACCTACTAAAACAAAAAAAATTCACATGTTATGTTATTTCTGAAAACGATTGATCCTAATGGTTTTTAAAGTGCATTATAGGTGATACCATTTTGATGATGTTGATATCTTTCTTATATTGAAACCCTAGGAGATTTCTTAAGAAATCCTTCACCCGATTGTTTCTCACTCATCCTCAGACCAGAGATGCCCTCTTCAAGCATAATATGCTTGTACTTTTTATCAAAAAATATCTCAAAAGAGCGTTCTCTTATCTTAATCATTATTCCACAATCTTCTCGAGACTCATATGTATGTATATATATATATATATAGTAGAACAAGGAGAAATTTGTTAATAATTTCTGAGGGGGGGACGTAATGAGCCTTACCTCTCATGCAATAGAAGAAAAAATGCATACAAAAAGAATCAACACTAACAGAGTATACAAAATACACAACCCTATCTGAAGGCACAAGACCCTTGACCAATTTAAAAAACTATGAAAAAGTCCAACAACAAAAAAAAAAAAAACTCAACCTCAACCTAACTAATGCATTTGGAACACTATTTCTTTCACTGTAGAAATGAACAACCGAAAAGACCCTAGTGGCTAATAAACTGTTGACCTCAAAGAGAATCGGACGCAAGTGCCAATTAGGGAAAGCCGTAACAAAAGGGTTTAAAACATCAAACATAAGGGGGCATCTCACATCGGATAGCTTTTGGATGTGTGTTGTGTAAATATAGTGCCATGGCCCTCACATGGTGAGCAATTGTCTAGTGTGAGTGGTTTGTGAGTCCTGCGCGCTATATTGGTTCAAAAAAATTAATTCCAAGGCCTCCTGTGTGGGCTCACTTTTCAACCCTCTTTAGACCTGGCTATGTCAGGCGAGGCTTTCGGGCTTGGGAGGGTTGGGCTAGGGCTATCCCACATCGGATAGCCTTTGAGTGTGCGTTGTGTAAATACAGTGTCATGGCTCTCACCTAGTCAACAATTGCCCAGTGTGAGTGGCTGGTGGTTCCCGTTGTATTGGTTCAAAAAAAAAAAAAAACAAAACATCAAACATAAGTAACATCGAGCTTGTTTGGTTTATATCTCAAGATACAATTTTGTTTGGTTCAAATTTTTGAAAAGAAAATTCCAAAATTACTTCCTCACTCTCTTATACATTAATCAATCAATCACTTTTTCTCTCTCATTCTCAATTACTTTTTCTCTCACACACATCTATTAAACTGCAACAAAATATCAAATCACCCCAAACTCCAAAACTATTTTCAAAATATACAATTAAACAAACCAAAAAAATTGTCTAAACCCTTTTTCCAATTTTTTTTTTTTTGAAAATTTATGTCAAAAGACAAACTAAACACACCCATCATTTTTTTTTTATGGGTCCTACCAACCAAACAAAACACTATTCAAAGTGGACCTTAAACCCACCTAATGTTTTTTGATAGTTTGTCAGACCACACAACATTGCAAAGAAGCAGATATAAGCCATGAAATGAAACTGTCACCAAAATGACCGTTCATTCTGTCCTAAAATGGCCATGGCAAGTGGTCATTTCCTCGTCGACGAATCGATACCGTGTCCCCCGGGTAACCTCTCTCCAACATCTTGTCAATTGTCACTGTCCCATGTGTCAATGATAGATGATGTTTCCTTCTTTTCTTTCTCCATATGAACACAATGAGGGCCCTCTCTCCTCTTGGGCCCCCTTTGGTTATCTATTGTTGGTTGGATTGATGTTGTCTGATGCCTCTACCTCAAACCTTAACATCAAACAAGTACTTCTTCAAAAACCATTTAATTAATCACACTTGCCCTGCCCCACGTCTTGTATTTAACTTGATTTTGGGATTCCCCTCTTTCATATCAACACGCACATGGTCGTAGTAATTCTCAAACTAGTACTTCTTAAAAAACCGACAAGTCTTGTATTTGCCGTAGATTTTGGGATTCTCCTCTTGCATATCAACGTGCTTGCACATTGTCATTCGTGAGGACTAAACCATTGAACTCAGAATACAACTAGGTAGAATCATAAGATTAAGCTAAACTGAAACAAGAGAACTTCAATACATAGAGAAGCCATTTAAAGATGATAGGCTCCGTTTGTTTGGAGATATAGAGAAAGATTGAGATTGATAGTGAGGTGAGATTTATTATGTTCGTGTTTATTTTGAGAGATGGAGAGGGGATTCGCAATCTCCACCGGATTATGAATTCCCTTTGAGAGGGGATTCGGATGGACCTCCAACACTTAATATTAGAAAAATAGTCTGGATTATTTTTTTTTTTTGTAATTATTTTTTACATGTTGGACATTTTTTTTTAAAACATTAATGTTTAATTTTTTATTTTTTTTATTAAGTAAAAATCATTTTTTTATTTGTTTATTTTTTTCTAGAAATTTTTTATTTTTTATAATATTTTTTACATGTTGGGCATTTTATTTTAAAACATTAATATTTAATATTTTTGTATTTTTTATTTGTTTTATTATTTTCTATAAAAATAATTTAACATTCCCTATACCAACAATTATCATCAAAACAAACACAATTTTACTTAATCCCTTCACTATCAATCTCCCCACTAACTATCCCTTCATTATGAATCCCTTCATTATAAATCTCTTCCATTCTACATTTGAGAACAAACGGGGCAATAGTTTCTTGATTATCCAATGATAGTGGTGTTTAGTCGGTTGCCCCTGTTTTTATGTTTTTATTTTTGTTTTTAGTTTATGTGTTTTTCCATTACCTTTTGCGTGAGGATCTACAATACAATCTCTTCCTTTTCATTCCATCATACAAAAAAAATAATAAAAATAAATTACAAAACAAAGCAAAGTACTTGGATAAGCTATAATTAAGAAGGAAAATTTCATATGCATATCTAGTACTTACAAAAAATGGAAAACCAAACTTCCAATTGAAGAGAATAATAAAACTTGACACAGTGAGGTCATTTGCAGCCAGTAATTTACAAAAATTTTAAAAATAAAAATAAAAATCCCTTCACATCAAAAAATATCAATTTTTGTTTTTTTTTAAAAGTTAGCCCATTGTCACTGCTAGATCTGCCTTAAAGCACAAACTCATTTCATCTAGAGATATTGTACTTTTGAGGGTAGCCGAGCTGCTCAATCTCCCAGCTCAACTTTGAAGCGACTCTTTCATGGCGAGGAACGTACTCCTGTAATTACAAAAAAGTAAAAACATACGATGACTAATTTTTTCCACTAATGTCTTACTAAAATAAGCAATTATATCATAAAACAATCAATCTATAGAAACAAACATATGGCACTCATCAAAAAAGAAATGGGTAGCAAACTTCCCTAATTTTAATGCAAAACAGGTATTAAACTGTTTGATGCAACTGTCAAAAAATAAATAATTTAAAATACCTCAAGTTTCTTCACTAATTCCCTAGCTGTTGGCGCTGATACAATGATATGCCGCGCAGTTGGATTTATGAAACCTTCTTCCACAGCTTTGTCGATAAATAGCAGTAGTGAGTTGTAAAATCCATCAACATTCAGCAACCCCACCTGCAAAAAATGAAAAATACAAATAATATGAAGTTATTTGCACAAAATCTGGTTCAATTACAGCAGTGATCCCCAATGATAGAACAGAATATCAAATTGCAGATTTAAGTATTACCGGTTTATCGTGTATGCCAAGTTGAGCCCATGTTATCACTTCCAGTAGCTCTTCTAGAGTCCCATACCCACCTGCATTATATAACCCGAATTTTTCTTAAGCCCGAGATTATTAATAGTTCCATTATTTTAATAGAAGTAAGAACTCAAGTACAATGCCTTCTCTCTTTTCTTTTATTTTCTTGTTCTTTTTAACATTTTTCTTAAATTGTCCAAACACATCCTGAGGTAGCTCAAGGTTACTACGCCAATAAAGCTGAAGTTTGTCAGTACGTCTTAAGTTATTAATAAAATTATTAACTTATTGACGAGAATAAATGCTCAGCAATTGTTTAACTTAACCACAATTGCAAGATTCAACACATCCGAGAATCCCACATTAAGAGTTGTTGAGCATTTTGCAGCCCGTGAAGAAATATAGTAGAGATGGAAAAGGACATTCAGCTTCATAAAAAAGCTAAAAGGAAAAGAAAAGAAAAGTGAAGCAAAGAAAAGCAAATGAGATTGAACTGAAGAATTGCAGAAGAGGAACATCCCATGAAGATCCAATGGAATCTGAGGACAAAGACATCTAATAGGCTAACACAATCACCTCTAATGTAAAGTGTTTTAAAAAATATGATTTTACTGTCTGTTCAATCATTTGTGGTTAGGGAAGAATTACTTTGACTAAGAATAATTACTGTCTACTATGTTGCATTCAATGGTCATCATGGTGATGAAAGTTGAATGACCAGTTGGCCCCAACCTTTTTTACATTTTCCAAAACTTGACATTTATTGACCCCATCCTTCTTTAGAACAGGGAACATAATCTTCTGGCAACCTATTCAGGTCATAATGTATCTCACAATCTCATAATGTTCGGCAAGACACTCTGCTACAATCTGTTAACTCTTAAAATGCCCCCAACAGGTCCTTCCTTCCAACAGGCTCTCCAATTTTTTGTGTTAACGTGTTATATGATAAAAAAAAAAATGATAAAAGTCGGGTCCAATTTTGTGTGTTAACTGGTTGTTAGTTTAGAAAGTGAGTTGGTGTCCCAATGATGTAGTCAAAATGTCTGTTAGGTAAAAGTAGGGTATACTTAAATGTATATGTGAAGAGAAAAATATAATTAAAGAATAACAAGAAAAGACTTTTGAGGCCCACCACCTCCTCTCTCTATCTCTTCGTGCATTGGCTAACTGTGTTGTCGAAGTTAGTAACACTTCTAGCAGCAAATTAACAACAACAATAAACATGCATTGAGGACAAAAGAAAAGAAAACAAAGGGTTAACTGTGCTAATGACTGATTCTAATGTAATAGGTTCTTGGAGAGCCTATTGGAGATAAGGATTTGCATTAAACAGGATGGATGACAAGTAGCATCCTAGCAGGTTGAAGATGACTCATTATTTGGTGCAGGTGCTATTTGGAAAAAACTATCTGATCAAAGTATGACTATATATATATATCTCTTTTTGCCTTCATTTTACCTTGATATGGTAATGGAAACTGTTCTAATATCAGAGGCTATTACTACATTGAAGGACAAAATCATATAAATGAGGTAAAAAACAAAACTAGTTTTATTCAGGATCAGAAGCTCTAATTTTCAGTGTAAGATGTTGATGGGGTCAACAAAGTAGTGTTTGAAAGGATGACCTGTAATCATGTGCCTTGGGGTTTGTGAGGGAAGAAAGTTCAGAGGGTTGTGATCATTTAGGCTTCACACAGTTGCTTTCACAGCATTACCAACACCAGAGATGTTATTGTTTTGGACTGTTTTTTTTTTTTTTTGGAACTAGTTTTAGACTGTTATTTTCCATGGCCATTTTTTGAGGGACTGCAAAACCTACATAGATACATGCATACATACATACAACATATATAATATCCATTATTGGCTGTAATTTGTTAAAAAAAGAAAATCAAGATAACCCCTCACAACCACACCCCTTAAAATAATGAATAAATCAAAGGTGGTGTCATTTCCACTCCACTTTTTTTTTTTTTTTGTGTGTCACCAGTGGCTCTGTTTGGTTTAGCATATATGAGATGCTTATAATTATTTTTATTTATTTTGAGAGTTTTTTGTGTGTCTCTATTGGCTCTGTTTGGTTTAGCATATATGAGATGCTTATAATTATTTTTATTCATTCTGAGAGTGTGATAGGTTGTTTGGTAATAGAAATAAGAATAATTTAAATAAGTTGATTATCTCAAATTTGAGAGGGGTGCTTTTGTTTTTATTTTTCCCCTTCAATAAAAGGACAAGAAGGGTATTATTATAATTTTATATAATAAAGACAAAAAACAGTCGGTGCATTTGTTTGTTCTCTCACAACTTGTATCAAACAAATAGACTGCAGTTTCTTAAGGAACAAGTTAAGGCAATCAAAACAAATCTGATTATAATCAAGACATGAGTTCTTGTAGTTTGACTTATAAAGAACAGACAGTTCATATTTTTTCTTATTTTTTTTTCTAGATTACTTTCTTAGTAGCGAGTGATAGATCAAGCATGTATTTACATTTCTACACACTGGTTAAGTTGACTTTTAAGCTACACTTGAAAGAACCAAAACAAAGAGAGAGATAGGTCCAATCTTTGATGGTAGAACTAGAAAAAGAAAAGCACCTGAATGCCTTTTAGCCTGAGTTGATTTGCCTTAGAGTATTAGTGAAAAAAAAAAGAACTTTTTGCAGGGCTTTATACTAACCAGGTAAGGCAATAAAAGCATCAGAATGCTTAGCCATCTCTGCTTTCCTTTGATGCATATCTGCTACAGCCTTCACTTCCCCTACAGTTTCACCAGTTAACTGCAAAAGATGTTAAAAAACTTAAAATATCTTCACACAGAGAGAGAGAGAGAGAGAGAGACTGGAAACATGCATTGGTTGTTGTGCAAATTGTGCAGTGAAGCAATGATGGGGATTGCAGGAATGGTTCACTTGATGCAAAAGCCTTGAGTCCGCAATTTCCAGATCCAATAGTTCATAGACTTATGGATGTGTGTGTGGTAATACAAATACGTATGTGTATTAGATAAGGAGAAAAAAAGCCAAGGAGAAAAAACTAGCTGAACTGAACAAATAAATAGAAAGTCAGAGAAAACATTTGAAACCCAAAAATATACAAAAAATGGTGAAATGCCAGCTACCAAATTGGTGCTATAGATCAGACTATACAGACTGGTTGTAATTCTTTTGTCATGTCCACTTTGGTTGTATAATGGACCAAGAAAGAAACACATCTTATGAACCGAAAACTGAAAAGAAAAAGACAACAGTACAAAGCAAAAAAAAAAAAAAAACTCAAATGAACAAGATATTAAAGGGAGGTGATACGAAAGGAAAATAAAGTAGCTAGACAAAAAGAAAGAAAAAGAAAATGATTGAAAAGAAAGAGAGGAAGATGAGAAAATAACAAAACAACCAAACCTAATCCATGAAAAAGAACTACTACCTCCAAACCCCTCCAACCCAAAAACAAAACCAGAAAATAAAAAAAAAGCAATAAGAGAAATGACAGTAGTTCAACGGGTTTTTTTATTTTTTATTTTTTATTTTTTATTTAAGTAGTTAATTAAATAAGAAAAGGCTTAAAACTTTTTGGGGGTGTAGCAGAGAGACATACCTCTCGAGGCATGAGCGTCTTGGGAATAACTCTGCAGAGAGACAATAACATGACAAAAAAATTAGTTGTAATAGAGAACAAAACCAATAGCAAACTACAGACCCAACTCATTGATCTTAGCTACTTAATAATGCTTTCTTTATTGATCTTTAAAAGTCTTTTTTTCAGGTCAACAATATTGAAGGAAGTCTCACCCAATGACATGCCGACCACCATCATGAACAGCTTGTGAAATCAAACCCATGAGGCCAATGCTACCTCCTCCATAGACCAGATCAATGTTCCTTGAGACCTTCAAGAGACCAAAGTCAAATCAGCCCACAAAGTGTTTGTAACAATGTCTATGCAAGAAAATAGATTAACCCATTTGAAATAGTAAATCTACCCTAATGAAAAAGAGAAAGGCAAATGTGGATTCCTCAGTACTCCAACAAAAATGGGTTTTGTTGGTACATATTCTTAGCCATATGAAGGCAATGATATGAGACACAGAGAGAGAGAGAGAGAGAGAGAGATGGAGACAGAGAGCTCTGTTTAGAAACAGAGCTGAAGATATTCATTGACATGCAATCCTTTGCTTGAAAAACTTCCAAAGCAGCACAATTGAATCACAAACCAAAAGAGAAAGCAACAAAAGTGTCCCATTCGAATCAAAAAGTTCAAGAAAACATGATTTGAAGCCAAACCCATCTCAAATCCAATAGAAAAACATTGGGAGGAACACATTTTCTGACAAGACCCAAGTTCAAAACAAAGATTTCTCAAGAATCCAAGTTCAAAAAGGGTCAGACGATACCATAAAACAACTCAAAGAAAAACAAGGCCATTAATGTTTTCATGAAAGCAATACCAATTCTTTGCCAAGCTCAATAGCAGCATCTTGGTAGCTGCTCTTCTTGCCCTGGCTACTCCCACAGAAGACACAAATCCTCTTGAACTTGGATTGCTTCATTTCACTCTCTCTCTCCATCACTCACTCTCTCTCACTCTCTGTGCCTCTACAGGTTTTGTTGGGTTACAAACGGCTTAGAAAAAGGAAGAATCCTCTGCCTCCCTCCCTCTCTAATTTTGTATAAACTCTTGCTAAATATGACCTATATAGGCATAGACATAGATATAGATATAAAGAATGTACTAGGCATATATGTATGTATAATATTAGTACATATACGAGTCACTAAAATTACAAGTGGCAACCTGTAATCTTTTTGCTTGACCACTCCTGGTCTGTCCTCTCACCATTTGAGGTGTTTTTATAGACGTTGTCATGGCACGTGAGAATCTTGGCACGCTTGAATCACTACTCCACTGGCACGTGCCAACCGAAATAACACACGCACAAGAACAACTTCTTGTAAACTTCATCAATATGTTTATATTTAGTAAAAATTTGATTTTGTTTTAAATATATTCTCTTTTTTTTGGTTCTTATCATACCTAGAAAGGAATACATTTAGAGTAGATTGAAATGAAAATAGAAATTATATATGATAAAAATAAATAATAGAATGTATTTAAAACAAAATGAAATGAGAATATCAATTCTTTAAAATATTATATTTAATATGCACATGTTTATGCTAGTAAAATGTTGATGATGTACATATATATATTTTGATCCTCCCCTATCATCTTTTATTAACAAAACCAATAGAGATGTCTTTTATTTTTTCCCCCTAAAATTTTATTTATTTGATATGCTTGTGAAGTACGTCATTAGGCTAATGAATTGTTACACAACTTTGATAAAAACAATAAATAAAACATTTGTTTCAATAAAATTTAAAATGTTGTATTACAAGATCGAAGACGGTTAAAAGAAGTCCATTAAACTTTCCTCTAAACTTTCAAGTCATGCTTTCCTTTCTTTTCACCCTTTAAACGAAAGACTTTGGAACTTAGCCTGATCAGCATAAAGGATAAGTCTTGGCTCAGGATAGTGTCTTTGAATAATGCTTCCACTTCCACAATGTGTAAAAGAAAACAGTTTGATAGTACATTTTCATTGCCCTTTTTTTTCTTGGAATAATATTGCACCCAAAACACTTTTATTATTCAAAGGGGGAGATTTGATTAAAACTCGCTCATAATAAAATTTTAATGCATTGAGGACAAATATAAAAAGTTTTAATTGAAAAATTCAACACATATCATTATTATCAAAATATACTTACTGAGTAATTTAATATTCAAACTTTAAAATAATATAATTTTTGATGTAGATGTTAATTTTTAATAAAATATGTATTTTTAGAATCCTCTCATCAAAATCTATCAAATGAGGTCTATGTTGACTATGAAATTCTTAAAAAAAAAAAATATCGTTGAAATTGACATAAACAGTAATATGTTATTCTATCTCACAGTAACATATTATTCTGATTCACAGTAACATTTTATTGTTACAAAAAACAAAGTACATAGTAAATGAACCAATTAAAAATATACATACACAACATTTTTAAACTTGTATAAAATAAAATAAAAGTGTTCATCGTCAAAAGAGTTCTATATATATATATGCATGGATAATTTCAATAAAAAAAAAAAATATTCTGTCCTTACTCAGTTATACACCTCCTCCTTAGGAGGTTTATAAAGCAAAATAAATTAGATTGTCTTTTTTACCAAACAAAGGGTCCAATGGAGGGATTTGACTAAATGTCCCTTACTCAAATAGATATAATTTTAGGGAAGCTCTAATTTCTTGGAATCTTTATAGATCTTAGAAAATCTAAATGTTTCTTCGTATATAGAGAAAGAAGCCTAATTTGATACGGTTGTGCTACATGCATCAATTAGTATACATACTAGTGTTATAATATCGTTAATGATCCTATTTATTATATAAATTACAAATATCCAAAACTTCTAAAATTATGCCGCATCATCTGTTGGTACACTAATATGTATACTAATTAATGTATATAACATTATTCAATTTGATATTACAATAATTTAAAGGAAACAATTCTTTTATTGCTTTGAAGAACCACTCACACCATTAGACATTTTGATTATTCAATGTTTATATTGATTATTTTCGTTCCCAATGATTTTTCTTGTGTATTGCTGTATCAGTTGTCTTGTTTTATTTATGAATAATGTGCATGCCATGCGATTAATGTTTTGAAATTGACAAATTACACTGACCACCTCCTTGTTTTCATATTCTGAAATTTAATTTACAAATAAAACCTGAATTATTATAACTTTAATTTAAATGTGTACTTGATTTATTTAAACTAGAATAATTTGCTATATATTGTGATATCAACTCACAGATGTAGCTTAAACAACACCAAACCCATAACTAATCACTAACCAGTTAAGAACATTATCATTCATTGCTAAACAAACTTCTCAAACCAACCAAAAACAAACTTTCTAACAAAACCATAATTTGACAGTAATTAATAAGGTCTCCAATCAAATGGAAAGTTAGAATGTGTCCATTCAACATGTAAAGAAAAAAAGCAGGCGTTGGGTTTTGTTCACCTTCTCTCTCCAAACCAAAAAAAGGGTAAAAATGGACATTGTGAGATGGGTATATATTACTTAACTATACCCACACCGTATACGTATTCACAGAGAGAGACATTGTATGGGCGCATAAATGGTTAAATTCAGAATTTCAGATGATCCCATAAAGCATGTGTAGTATATTTATAAGTACATAGAATTAAAACACAAAAAGAGCATATGACATTTATTTCAAGTGTGACCTACATCATGTTCAAAATGAATGTGAACCAGAAAATACATTTTTTACACACTTTTTGTGTTTTAATTTTTTATCTATATTATTGTGTATATAAAGAAATATGATATAATAAACATGTTGGTGTATGACATGTCACCTTGTACCCTCATCCACAGTTTCCCACACGACACAGTTGTTGTAAGCATAGGAAACATTTTTATTTTTATTTCATGCACCATTCCCTTCCTCCATATCACCCACACTTCACTTCACCAAGCATGCTGTCCCCAGCCCTAGCCCCATACATCCCTCTACTAATTGCATTTGCCTCTTCTCCTCCTATCGCCATTATCTTCCCCCACCCTCACAATCATCCCCATCTACATTATATATATACAATTCTTTATTCATTATTACATCCCAAAATAACCCATTTGTTAATTTCTTACTATAATATGGGTTTCACAGATAAGCTATTTCTGTAATTTCAATCCACCGTTGTAACTTAAGTGTCATAAGCTCTCAAATTATGAAAATAGTCTTTTAGCGCAAGAGGTAAAAGACCCTCTCTAAACTCTGGCAAAAATCTCATTCACTGTGACTATTCTTTTCAATTACGGGTTTTAACATAGTAGATTAATTTCACCATTTAAAAAAAAAAATAGATTAGATTCTCGCAACAAAAAAGGCCAAAAGAAGAACACGAGATACATTTTACTAATTTCATAATATTTTTCGACATTTTTAATTATTTTCAAAACATTTATCATATTAATACCAATACTAAACAATATTCACGGAGCACTCATTCGCATTTGCCTTTAAAAAATAACTGTAAGTTGCATTATTTTCTAAATATTATTGATCATATACAGACACATTGATGATTATTGGGTGAATAGATGGAAAAATAATAATAATAATAACCAATGACATATATAATTTTCTGATCGTTAGTTAGTTCATTGCTGTAATTTTATGACTATTTTAGTTGCCTAGATTGCAGGAACTGAGCTCGTGGTCTTAAATTAATAATGTGTATTAATTAATTAATACTCTCAAACCAATGTGGAGATTAGTATATTCTTTAGTTTAAAATAGACATCCCCAATCCCCAAGTCACCCTTTCTGGCTCTTCTTCCTCTTCATTTTTTTCCAAGTCTTTTTGACTGTGTCTACAGTAGGCCCACTTCATAAGTATTGAGATTATAAACTTATAATTACTACACTTCTTAATTTAATTAAATAATTAGTGGGGAACTGAGTGAGCATGTACTCATAAACTATATAAGTGTGAGTTGTGCATGCTTGCATGCGCATTGGTTGATCGCATGTTTTTGTGTGTTTGTGGAAGAATTAGCTTCCACCAAGGAATTTGTTTAAGAAACAATAATGACACTAGTTTTCAAATACAATGTTTGAATTTTTTTAATTATTGGATCGATTTAATTTTTTTTATAAATGATATATATGGATTTCATAAAATGAACTTTTTTTTATGAATGGTATATATTGAGGGTTTCATAGAATGAATGGTTTGAATCATCAAAATAAGACTCGTGATGGGCTCTGCAAGCCTCTCAAGTTCTCTAGTTTAATTTAAACTTGAAATAAGTCCAATTCTAAAAGAAATTAGGGGCTCAAACTTAAGATATCGTGATGGTAACAAATACAGCAAGAAGACAAATTAATGCACTTGATCTATAAATTGTGTGGGGATGCAAAAATGGGCATATAATGGGTATAATACCTAGTTTTTTGGCTGTACTTTTATTTTTATTTTTATATGTAGAACTTCACATCTCTTTCTTTAATCTTATTAGAGGTAAAACCTTGTCATTGTTGTATTGGTAGCATGAATTCGTGTCACAGGAGCATCCTTTCTAAAAATATACAGAGTTAAGGTTGTGTACATCTTATCTTTCTTAAATCCCGTTTTAATAGGAGTTTAAGTTGTATTTATTTTTATTTCAAAGATTAATTGGTGAATGATAAATTGATAATAATAGTATATCAGCATACAAATACCCATTTTATCAGTTTTGATTAGTTAAATTTGTCTGAGATTCTTCTTATAATAACAAAAAAAACATCTTCTTATGTAATAATTATGATCAAACAATAGAAGAAAAATAAATGCTTAGTCAATAAGGGCGATGAGCAAAAGAATTGAGTTTTCTAACTAGAAGACAACTCATCATAATCCATTGGATGACACAAACAAATACAAGGCAACAGTCACAACTCAAGCAGAACATCAAATGGAACATCAATTCAAGTAAGTATAATGGTGGACAAAGCTCACTGTCATGGTCCTAAGTCCTAACAATTGGAATTGTCTTAAAGTTCTATCAAATCAAATTAAAAATATCAAATCAAATTAAAAATAAACAAATGCTTATTAGTCAATCTCTAACATGGGTTTGTTGGTAAACACATAGATTTACCACTAAAGTAAGAAATAAAACATTGTTTTGCCTCTTTGATCGAGTGCCTATTTATCAGTAGAATATTTT